ATGTCGGTAGTTGTTGGGATATTTGGGCTGCTCGTATAGTACCGTGCCTCGTTATAGTAATCTGCAAATTTAATTAAACAATTTTTTTTTTAAACTACAATAGATGCATTTTGTAATCATTGATGTTAAGATCTATCGAGTTAATCAATCAGAGTTAGTAGCTTGATCAGAAAAAAAAAGAAGAAAAAAAAATATGTACATATATATTAGGTGGACCGAAAAGTAATGTCGTTTCTGCGCATGTCGATATATGATTGTGATTAAAAATAAAAACTTGTTAAAAATTTATTCGTTTGAATTTAATTTAAGAAAGCGACATTACTTTCCGGTCCACCTAATATATTGTAAAAAAAATTCTTAAGAAAATTTAAAGAAAATTGAAATATCTTCAAAATATACATTATCAATCGAATTAATGATTATTGTAGCGATTTGGAATAAAGTAATAAAAATTAAAAAAAATTGATATAAAAAAGAAAATAAATATAAATATATATAAACATCATTGATATTAGGATATACCATGATCATTCGTGATTAATCAAATTAATAAGTATTATATTGATCTAAGAAAAAAAAAAAAAAAAAGAAAAAAATACTAATATAATTCTCAATATATAAAATTTAATGTATATACGCATAAACATCATTGGATATTAGGATATATCAAATTTCATTTGCGAATTAATCAAAATTAATGGACATTATATTAATAAAAAACAAACAATATTAGAATAATTCTAAATAAAATTAAATGTATATATCGTATTATATTAACATAATTGATATTGAAATCTCAATAGATTCCGTGATTAATCGAGTTTGTAAAGGACTATAACTATCTAACTAATACGTAGATAACTCGTAACTTAATGCTAACGATTGAGAGAGAAAGGAGCGTTAATTTCTTACGATCTAACACTCGCAATTTTTTTTTCGAATCACGAGTAAAACCGATTCGCGAGAAGCTACAGAAACGAGTTACCACAATTGGTTGCGTGACATCATCGGAGATTTGCAATGAAATCAATGACGAAATGAAGGCGGATAAAAGGGAGATAGTTAACAACGCCGAACTACAGGTTAACGTTTCAATCAGAACGGTCATAATGTTATCATCAAGCTACCGTTTAACTAAACGGACCACGAGAGATTTTCTCTTATTATCTAGTAGAAATTATAGTCAAAAGTTTATCATTTTTGTTTGTTTCTTTCTTTTTTTTTTTTCCTTTTGTTTTGTTTGTTTTTTGTTGTTGTGTTTCCTTTTACTTCCTTCTTTTTTTTTTTTTTAATCTCTGTTGGCTTAACTCTATCTTCGATTTATTTACTTGTTCAAAAGTCACGTAATTTTGCGAAAGGATAAAATTTCAAATGTAATCAAAGCGCACACGCTTCAAGACTTTCTAAATAATTCGATGAAACTACCGCCCACTTTAACGCACGTCGTCATTCATTCGAACAATGGTGAAATCTATCCAGAGGAGAGGATAGATAGAGATTATTTTACTTTCAATGCTCGTCACCGTTAAATTCCACGATGGAAATTAATTTAAATCGCTGAATATCGTTGAATTATAAAATCAAATGGTACTTTGAGATAATTTTTTTTTTGTTTTTTCTTTTTTTTTTTTTTTTTTTTTTTTTTTTCAATCGAACTCAATAAATATCATCGATCGAAAAAGAAAATGACTCGTTCTTAAAAGAAATGACTCATTCTTATTGGAAATGTCAAAAGATTTATATCGACTGATCGATTCATCGATCCTTGGCCTTTCTTTTAAAGATCTAACGTACTACGTGTACGTTACGTGCGATTAAATGCATACATAGGTACGTACGCAAAATTTTTCCCTTTCGTTCGAAAACGGCCTTGAAGGCAAATGTCCGTTCTTATATCTCACCTTTGAAAAAGTGATTATTAATCAACGATTTACGATAATCGATCCCTCGATATAAAATATCTCGATATAAGATATCGATCGATATAAATATAAATATATTAAAATATATTAAAATTAAACATCAACTATTAAATGAAAGTTTATTAAATTGATCGATGATTATAGTGATTTTTAATAACGACCATGATTAATATATAATCGAATTAATCAATACACCACGTTACGGTCAGCAACGTCTCCTTTCACAAATTTTTAACATCTTTATAACTTTTATCATAATATCTATCATAAAAATTCCATTTAGAGATTCATCGTAAATTGATCTAAGAAATTTAAAGGAAGAAAAGCACATAATTACTTACTTACATACATACATATGTATACATACATAAGAAAGAAGAAGACAGGTTGCTGGTTTTACAAGATTGTAAATGAGAGAAGAAAACTCTCATGCTTAGAGCACGAGGTGCGAGACTCTATCGTAGTCGCTAATGAAAAGGATAGGAAAGATGGTAGGTGTTAGGAGGGTAAGGCGAGGTATAGGGTAGGGTAGGGGGAAAGGGAGGGAGGGAGGGAAAAGAAAAAAAGAAAAAAAAAGTGAAAAAGGAGAGAGAGTGAGAGAGAAAGAAAAAAAAAATAGTTGCAGCGCTTCTCTCGAACGCTGCTAAAAGTAAAATCGTCTCCCTAATTAGCCTATCCGGTAAAACACGCCAACCCGCCGAGTTTATTCTTAGATTAAGAGTGACGACCGACACGAGGTATAACGTAATTGCATCCCGTTCCATTACTAGACGAGAGAGAAACCGGCTACTAGATGTTGTATTAGTAGTATTAGTATTAGTATTAGTAATAGTAATAGTAGTAGTAGTAGTACTGGTAGATATTATGGTCTCTAACGTACGCTTTCAGACTAACATAAGACGATTTGAAAAAGACAAATTGCTGAGAACCAAAGAATGATGTGTGTGTAGATACTATTCGTGATATACGTTACGTTAAATGTTAGAAAATTGTTCTTAATTATCGTTCTTTTCTTAAAAAGGTTTTATCCTTTTTTTTTTTTTTTTTTTTTTTTTTTTATTTCTCTCCGAAGAAATCCTAAACCTTTTTCTATCATTCATAAAGAGTGATTTGATTTCTTTATAACATCTTTTTCACTTACTTATTACCCATACTTACTTATTTATAAATATAAGAACGAATTGTTTGACGTGTTTAAAGGACGAAAAAAAAGAAAAAAAAAAAAAATATAAAAAAAGAAAAAAACAAAAAGAATTGTTCCTAATATCTCGATCGAATATTTATCCTCGCGAAATAAAATTCTTTCTTATTAATTTGATTTAATAACCGTAAAATTTCGATATTTCGACTTTAAATATAATTTAATTATTTGTCTTTAATATCGCAGACTTTTGATAATGATCTAATGAATGATTAAAATTCACAGACCTCGTCGTCGTCGTCGTCGTCGTCGTCGTCGTCGTCGTCGTCGTCGTCGTCGTCATTTATGAGAATGTCGGCGAAGGCAGCCGATTAAATGTGGCAAGGTCTCTCTCTCACTCTTTCTTTCTCTCGCTCACTCCCCTCCTCTCTCTTTCTCTCTCGTTACCTCTTACTTTTATTTTTCAATCTTCTCCAATTTAGGTATCGCCAATGTAACGAGCTGACTCTCGTGTGACCACTTGCCGATATCGCGTCAGCTTAGGCGAGCGTGTAATCGCTGACTAAGAAGAGCAAATCCGTGTCAGGAAATGACAACCGAATCCAAATTGTTCGAAATCGAAATTTGATGCTTAACCGCAAGCACGTACGAGATTAAAATAAAAAATAAAAAAAAAATAATAAATAAATAAATAAATAAAAAAAAAAAAAAAGAAAAAAGAAGAAAAAAAGTAAGAGGAAAAAATAAGGATACAAAAAAAAGTTAATCATTTCCGCCAGTTGGTATTATCGATTACGTCAAACACTTCGTGAACCGAGAAATCACAAAAAAAAAAAAAAAAAAAAGAAAAAAAAAACATTTTTTCCATATGAAGGAAAAACTTAAATAACTCGGTCAATTACGATAGATCGACTGAATAATATCTTGGATATCGGATATGAAAATTTCAAGAAATTCACGTGATTATCAATCGACTTCAATGAAACTGATTTGACCACCATATTGATCATTATGCGATTTGAAATGATTGGGCACTGTAATATTTCTTTGAAATCTCGCTTATACTTACTCTGTGTAAAACATTTTCAATTTTTTTTTTTTTTTTTTTTATCGATATACGTATGTATATACGTATTATGGATAAAATCAAGAAAACACTTTTGTCTACGTTACTTCGTTTCGACCCTTTGTATGTTCGTTATATAAGATAAAATAACGTTAATGAAATAACATTAATGACGTAACAGTTGGTTAATTATAATCTAAATGGTTGTGTCTTTCGTTTACGACACAACTATCTTATCATTTGATTTTCATTTGAATACGATAGATCTATATCGAACTTGTAGAAAATAATTTAGATCCAATTAGTTATTCCGTTATTTCGTCTAACACCTTTAAATTTACATAATGTGCATATGTGTACATTTATTCGGAACAAGCTATGGTAACAGGCGATGGGAACAGACGATGAGAACAAGCGAATACTCCATTTCATCGATCAATTTGTAAATTGATCAGACGTTTATTTTGTAAGGGACCTGTACACGAGTCAAGAAGGATGTAACCCAAAACTAATTTATTCGGCACTCGCAAACACCTGGAACGAGATCGGATACTCTCACGCATCACGAAAGAACACTTGTGGAAGGTCAGTCCACGATCGGATTCCAGTTGGATGGAACGCGCTTGGTTGGCCCTTATATGGACGGAACTTGACGAGTAACGCTAAGAAAATCTCGTTTCTCATCTCTGAGAATTTCACGTTCGCTTTCCTGTCCATGACACCGATCCATTAAATAATCAAAATGAAAAAAAGAAAATATAAGAAAAAAAAGATAAAGAAAACCAATGACGACGTCATTGTTGTTGTTGTTGTTGTTATTGTTGTTATTGTTATCCAGAAACATTCATTTTATATAAGAATAATAATCGATCGATATATTAAAGATCACTATTAATTTATAAAAATATAATTCTTATCTTATTTAATTAATTGAAAAAAATAATATAACACAATTTCGATATAATTTTGTATTAACGAATAATTAAATAGAACCTTTGTGACGTTCTCATAAAATAATATTTTTTTTTTTTTTTTCATCAACGTCATCGATCAAGTATACATTAATTCAATAGCTTAAGGAATCTATCTATCTGTTAGATTTGAAACGTGAGCACTGTTAATATCTCCTTGAAATCTCATCTATTACTCTATATGTACGAATATTTATGTGTATATAATATTTATCTCTATGCAAATCTATAACTATACATACGTACGTAGCGCATACATTTATACGTATCCACATATATACGTAATATAATTGTACCGCATATGTTCGCGCGCAAACGTATACATCTAACTCTACGTATTATAATGTAAGAAGGATCGTAGTTACCTTATAGTGACTCTTATTTGTGCCTGCGCAATTGCTATACGTGCGTTCATGACGTCATTGCACGAGTAATGTCGTCCGACATTTACTTCCAATCGCGAAAGTAGCCTACCGATTTATCAAAGAAGTTCGAAACGATTCTAATACTTAAAATCTTTCAACTGGAAACGAATAAAAGTAAAGTCTATTCGGTTTGTCTTTAACACAGTCATAAAACTGTTCAGGAAAGAGAAAAAAGAGAGAGAAGAGAGAGAGAGAGAGCGAGAGAGAGAGAGAGAAAGAGAAAGAGAAAGAGAAAGAGAAAGAGAAAGAGAAAGAGAAAGAGAAAGAGAAAGAGAGACATTATTTGCGCAAGACTCTCCTATGCCGCTAGACAAACGTCGCTTTTTTCTTTCTTCTTCTATTTTTTCTTTCCTATTCTTTTTTTTTTCTATCTCTCTCTCCTACAAACAGTTTCTATTGATTCATCTCTTCTCTTAAGAATACCCAACTAATATTAGCTCGACGAAGTTCATTGCCCTTTCTCAGCCGGAAATTTGAATGCATCTGCATAACTCGTTTTGAACTTTCACGTTTGAAAATTAATTTTCTTTTATTTCCTTTTTCTTTTTTTTTTCTTTTTTTTTTTGTTTCATTTTGTTTTGTTTTGTTTTGTTTTTATTTAGTTTTTATTTTTAAATATTTCAATTTATAAAAACATCTCTAAAAAGTAATCCAAACTGTTGCCCTTTACTAAACTGGGAAATTCGAATGCTCTTATGTAACTTGCTTGAACTTTCACGATTTAAAATGATTTTTATATATATATATATATATATATATATATATATATATATATATATATGTATATATATGTATATATATATATGTATATATATTTTGGTACAATTTATATGTATATATAAATAATTATATGTATATAAAAATTTTATATATATATATATATATCCTCATAAAAAAAAAAAAGGAAAAAAAAAAATCTCTCAAAATTAATCCACTCCGAGAAATTAAAAAAAAATAAATTCGAAAGCACTTGCGCGACATTTTTTTTTTTAACTTTCACGTTTGAAATTGAACAAATTTTTTTCTCTTTCTTCTTTAATCTCACAAAACAAGAAATCTTAAGAGTATCAAAAATTCATTTCAATTCATTTCGATAGAAAAATGGCTTTAAAAACGACGTCGATGATCATGATATCGAACTTTTTTTGGAAACTCTTCTATTCTTTTTTTTTTTTTTTTTTTTTTTTTTTTCCCAAAATGATTTCACTCAAATCGAAAAATTATATTACTCTTTATATCTTCTCGATGCTTCTCATAACGAATTTATTTTCCTATATGATTTGTATATTTTAAAAAGTGATGTTTCCGATAACGAAAGTAAATATCTTATCCTGTTCGACAGTGAAACGTCTGTGAAAACGAACTATACTACTGGTACACTGTATATCTACTATACGTAGCTCTCTTAGATCCTGTGCCGATATTTAAAAGAACACCGAGTAAAAGTAGGCGTGGCTGTTCCGAACGGATTCTCTCTCTCTCTCTTATTATTTCTTTAAACTGCTTTAAATGGACTCTTTTCTCTCTCTCTCTCTCTCTCTCTCTCTCTCTCTCTCTCTCTCTCTGACCATTTTGTATTTCACCAAGTGAATCGAAACGAATTCGATCCGAATTCATTAGATCCTACGAGATGTATTCTTAATTTACTCTTTTTCATCTCACAAATTCCAAGAATATTGATTTTCTTTCGATCACGTTGGTTCATTTTACATATATATATATATATATATATATATATATATATATATAAAATTTGAAAGCATATTTATTATGCAGAAGAAGGAACGAAAATAGGGATGTAAAACTATAGGACATGTTTGTGATTATCTTGACACCCGTTAGATCTCGATAATGAAATAATTAAAGATGGAAATGAGAGTGAACTATGAATAAATTCCTGGCACGTCAAATCGAGAAACGGTTAAGAAGTTACTCGTGGATTCTATAATTACTTACGTGGCGTAGTTAAAAGTCAGTCAGTCTTTCTCCGTGTCACGAATAAAAATGGATCACTCTGTTTTAATCGAATTAACGTAATGGTCGATCACATCTATGGCGATCCATCTCGATGTGTTTCTACCTGTTAACTGATATTCTTACGTAGATTACATATATACACATCTATAGGATCGAACTTTACATCAAGACGATAGGATCGAGGTATCGTGATTTCGAAATTTAATATTAATAAGAAAGAGATAAATAGAGAGACGGAGAAAGAGAAAGAGAGAGAGAGAGAGAGAGAGAGAGAGAGAGAGAGAGAAAGAGAAAATCGATTCTTTCGCTTTTGAGTCATTAAAAGAACACAGTTAAAATATTCTCTTTTCGTTCGAGTCGGTGTAAACGACAAGTTTAACGTAATTGTTGATTATTAAGGTATTACGTAAGAAAACCAAGATTACCGAGCGCTGAATGAGTTAAAGACATTAAATCAGCTGATCGCTGTCAAGAGAAAACGATCCCACGGCTTCTACTGGTGGCACAATAGAAAATCGAAACATCACTTTACAGAATTCAAAAGACCGACCTATAATTCACGTTTATATTCGTCCTAGATTCGTTATACTTTTTGACTTTAATATTGGAAAGATTTTGCAACGGTATATAATCTATAAAAGCCTAAGTTATTTCGTACAACTTATTGAATATTGATTTATTCGGATTATATATTTGCAAAATCTTTCTATATAACCAATATTTTTAATCTGAAATTATATTATAATCTATAAAATCAATACTATATTAATATCTCGATTGAATACCTTAAATTAATAATTCAATATTCGATTGAAATTCATTCTAATAATTAATATTTGATTGAATTAATTCATAAATTCAATAATTTTCATTCGCAGAGAAGATCAATTAATATACACTTTATTATTACATTAATCTCGATTGTTATTATACGATGAAAAAAAAAAAAGAAATTATTTATAAATATTGATTCAAATCATTAATCAAAAATAATTAAAAATTAATCTTAAGATTTTATGTGTTACGTGAAAAGTAAGAAATGATTATTTACTTTATCTGTATCTTGTTTATTTCGAAAGGATTCGACTTTCGTGATTCAAAAAGCGTAAAGGATTTTTGAGACAACGAGACTTCTTCCAAGGCAGACACATTTGTGGGATATTGTGCCAACAAAGGATTACATAATCTTCGACATTCCTGACCAACATACTACACTAACCGAGCACGCGTGTTTCTGGCACGAAGCGCGATATGAGAGAAAGTCTATTATGTGTATGCAAGTAGATATATACATACATACATATATACATGCATACATACGTACATATGTATGTACATATATACACACATACGTACATATATATATGTATATATATACATATAAACATATGTATAGTAACATACGTTTATCTAATATCTGATTGTCTATTGTAAAAGTAGAATAAGTAAAAAAAAATAAAATAAAAAAAAAATACAAAAATAAAAAAAAAATAAAAATTAACATTCTAGATTTATTTATTAAATTCTAGCAATCTTATCGCGCAACAATAGAATGATCAATTAAGAATTTTATAGTTGTTAGAATACTTTATTAAAACATTTCATAAACAGTGGCAGATTTACGATGGAGTCGGTCACCTTGGAACCCTCCCAACACCCTACATCCACCCTCTCCCGATAAAACAACGATTTCCACACGACAATATATGAATTTATATCTGTTATATAATAAATTTTATTTAATATCCATCGAAAGAATTATATAATATTGTTTTCTACATTTGCGATTATACGAACGAGAATTTGGAATGATTATATTTGTATTTCTTAATTCAACACTTCTACGAAAAGTTTAATCGAAAAAGAAAATTATCTAGATATAAAATCGTGCATAATGAATTTATTTTAATGGGCTGGGCGGGGGGGGGGGGGGTGAATGACGGAGAGAAATTTGGATACTTTAAAATATGCGTAAATCGAGATTAGAGTTATCACATGAAGATTAAATTCACTTTTCGTTCGGCATTAATAGAGTAAATAATAAAATTAGTAATAAAAAGAATTTGTTTTGGATTACTCACCAACAGATATGTCAGCACGATCCCCCGCCAGTCCATGGCTAAAATAAAAGAGAAAGTCTTATTAATAACTGGGTCGAACCATCATGAATAGAATAGTATGATCGTCCGCGTAAAACATTGTGTACGTGCATGATGTCACGCAAATATGATTGATTAAGGAAAAAAAAAAAAAAAAAAAAGAGAGAGAGTAAAAGTATAAACATTGAATTTCATTCTTAATCCATTCGATTACATCATTATTACCATAGAAGAGATAAACTTTAATAAATAGACGATTAACGTACCGTTTTCTTATTAATTATTTATGTAGTCTGTTTAAAAAAACAAAAAAAAAGGGCCACATTTCAAGTAGGGCCACATATCGATCGTTCTTTTTGAAATCTAAGGAACGTCAAACACTTTTAATTGTAATGATTCAAAGAAAACAAAACGCACGAGATTCCACGAGGGTTAAGGTCGCTTCTGATAGCAATAATGCCGGTAGTTACACATACACGCACCTGCATACATACAAATACATATATATATATATATAGACACACATATGCACATATATAAATACACATTTATAGATTCATTTTACTTAAGTATGTGTACGTGTATGTCTGAACACGTTTTTAGAAGGGTTAGTAGAATTCTCCACGCTGTCGTAGTTCGTCGCGTGAGAAAGCGAACACATATGAGTTAAATCTCATAAACATGAAGTAAACGCAACGTTCACTTTTTAGAGTAAAGAATCGAGAGTGCTATAGTCGAAAGGAGTAAAAGAAGTAAAAGAAAAAAAAAAACAAAAAGAAAAAAAGGGAAAGAACAAAAGGGAAAAAAGGAAAAAGAGAAAAAAGAAGAGGAAGAAAACGTAAAAGACAAAAGAGAGAGAGAGAGAGAGAGAGAGAGAGAGAGAGAGAGAGAGACAGAGAGAAGAAGAAGACATGGAATAAGAAAAAACATAGAACACGACCTCGACCGTAAACAAGGGACCAACGTGATCGAAGTCGAGCGTCGGCCGCCATTTTGCACGCACTTGCGATCGAACGAATGTGGCCACGTTGCGTTATATAATTTTCTCCTCGTATCATTTTCTTTTCCGATAATATATTTCTACGTATTTGTAATATATTACACGTGATTTACAAGAATGATATCGGATCGACATCGCGCGATATTCTGTTGCCTTTCCACCTTCCTCTACTGTTTTCGTCCACAGCTAAGGATGTTTCCCCATTTCAGGGCTGTGCCACTACTCAGAGTTACCATGGCCAGGGCCGTATCGATCGAATCCCTTTCAAGGTCTTTTTTCTACATATTTTATCATCTTTGATTTATATGGAAAATTTTTCTTAACCTTTTTTTTTCTTTCTTCTCTATCGACTTTAATAAGATTTGCAATTACAGATTTAAACGTTTCTTTCGAAGTACGAGCGAAGAGCAGGAGGAGGAGGAGGAGGAGGAGACGAAAAAAAAAGAGAAGAAGAATAGCAATCAAATGAATTAACCATACGGGCAAGTTCGTTCACGGAAACAGATGTCATGCGGTTGGCTGATCGGCCACCCTGATATCCAAAACGAAGGGGAACCGAAAAATTCAAGGTCTCACGACGACAGGGAACAGTTTAAAGTGTTACAACGGTTTATTATTTACGAAAGAAACCAATTTGTAAAACGAAAGTAAAATGATTATTTATTTTCCTAATATTTTTCCTAATATACGAAGTAGAACAATGTTGGAATCTCAATTGCGAATCCTACTTCGATTATTACAGTGTTCGGATATCTAGCTATACTTAAGTAAGTAACTAAGTATGTACTTGCTTACTTACTTACATATACGTAGTATAATCGGAGGAAATTATCAGGCGTTGAAATCACCAGTAGAGACTTCAATGCCTTCCACAATTTAGGTCTCAAGTTCAACGTAACAACTGGTGTGTTGTTATGTCTTTCTTTTTTTCTTTTTCTTCTCTTTTTTTTTTTCTTTTTTTTCTTTTCCTTTTTTGCTTTGATTTTTTCTTCCTCCAAATTCAACCAATAAATTTGAAAAGTATTCATTAAGAATATCCTCGTTCTATTCGTTTCGATGTTTACACGGTTAAACGCATCGATGGTTAGTCAGACATTTTCTTTGACAACAAGATACGTAATTTCGTTGGCTTTACTTTTTATAAAGTTACGTAACCGATCAGGGATAACTATTTCTTCCGATATTACTTTCGCTTTTCACGAACGCGATCTCCTTCACGGATTTGTCTAACGTACGAAATCGATATATACGAGTATGTATGCATTTATATGTATTAGTATAGCTTCAGCGTAGGTCGCTTCTCGATCCTTGGTGTTTGCATATTTGGTTGAAGCTCGCCCACTAATAAATGACGATGATGATGATGATGATGATGATGATGATGATGGCGAGAAGCCTTGAGCTCGTTTCCCATTGAATAATCCATCGTTATTAAAGCGACTATTAGATACCATAATCGTCGCGTGCTTCCTACGCCATTGGTTATGATTAAACGGGAGAAAATTTATCCCTCGACGCGACGCAATTTCCCGTTTAACCATATAAATTTCGATAATTTTCAATCCTCGTGACTCTTTCCATTTACCAGAGAACAATGAATTTTTAAAAGAGGAATAAAGAAAAAGAAAAATGAAGAAAATTGAACTTATTTAGTTTCTTCCATTTTTTCATTTGATATATATATATATATATTTATATGTATGTGCGCGCAAACACACGTACATACACATAAATTATATATATTTATAGAGATCGCCTACGCCCTTGAAAGTCTCGCGAGAACGTAATCCCCGTAGAATTTCCTCGCGCGCGCGCGCGCGCGACATGGCGCCATCTTGATCTCTTCGCGGTTAAATCAGCGAATGTGATCTCGATATATATATATATATATATATATATACATACATGCATAAATGTGTATATGTAAATTTAAATACTTACACGTATCTACGATTAATACATTCACGAATAAGTTATAAGATCTTCAATGAGTAAATATAGAAGAACTGTTTGGACGATAAATTTTTATTGTACGACACGTAATAATCGTCCAATCGGATATCGTTTAATCGTTCCTATCATTTATTCGTTATATAATAATAAAATATAAATATATTACTTTGGACGATTAGAACCTTCAATTTTCTTTTTCTTTTTTCAATTGTAATAATCATATTTATATATATATATACATATATAAAATATATTATATTATATATTTATATTTAATATATATAATATATTATATTATACACTTATATTTATATTACATATTACATGTTATATATAATGAATAAGATAAAAAAGAATTGATATTTGACGTATAAAATAGGACAAAAAGAAATTGATATTTTTATTACCTGCTGCTCCGTTACCACCGAAACTTCGTAATAGATGAGATATATCGATGAGGATTCCAGGATGTCTCTGGCAGGATGTCGAACGAGAAAATGTGAAAAAGATTCACTCGAGAACGATCGATAGAGTTCACTCGCGAGATAACGCGAAAAAGGGAAGAATAGATAGGTTAAACGAAAGAAACGAAAAAGAAAGAAGGAATAAAATAAAATACAAAGAGAAGAATGGAGGTGGAAGAGAAGGAGGAAGAGGGAGAGAGGGAGGGAGGGAGAGAGAGAGAGAGAGAGAAAGAGAGAAAAAGAAATAAAAATAAAAAAATTCGTCTAAACCTCCGGTCGATCGAACGAACGATCGGATTGATCGTCAATGATGCAAAGCGCGCGAAAAATGAAGGACTTTTGAAATTGGTCGGTGTCGACCTATCGAACTTTCGTTTCTCGTCCTCGACGACCTTAAGGTCCACCTCGCGTACGTCGACATCCCAATGATCCTGTTTTCTTCCTTTCTTCCCTTCTCGCTTCTTCTTCTTCTTCTTCTTCTTCTTCTTCTTCTTTTTCCTCTTCTCTTCCTTTTCTTATTCCTCTTTCTCTCTCTCCCTCTCTCTCTTCGATCGCCGATACGAAGACACCGGTTCGACGACTTCCGCTTTTGGATTGCTTCGTCACGTCATCAAGTGTCGCCAATTTTGGAAATCGCCCATCGTTGAGGGTTCTTTGAACGATATATTATCCACTATAATCGAGCATTTTGCTCTCTCTTTCTCTTTCTCTTTCTCTCGATCGCGTTGTCCTTTTTCTTTAATTCCTTCTTCCTTCTCTCTTTTTATTTCTCTCTCTCTCTCTCTCTCTCTCTCTCTCTTTCTCTCTCTCTCTCTTTCTCTCTCTTTCGTTATATCTTGGAAAATAAATGAAAAATCTCGCGATAAACGTATTGGTCCTATAAGATTCGTTTTCGAAGTTTCCACCAATCAGATTTCACGATACATACGATTTTAAGGATTTTCAAATTTTTGCGCGATTTTTTTTAGTTTTTATTATTTTTTTTTTCTTTTCTTTTTTTTTCCTTAAAAAAATCGAGAGGGATAAATCGACGATGACGTACTTATTACTTTCTGCTTTTAAAAGTTATGCATATACGGATAAGTAAAGAGAAAGATATAGAGAAACCGAATATTAGGTTAGGATCGATCTTCTTTTTTCTTTATTTTTCATTTGAAGCTTCTGTCTCGTAACGATTTAAATTGTTTTCTTCGTTGTCTATATAATCGAGTTACTTAGTTTTCCTTTGTTTTTTTTTTAACTATTGTTCTTTTCCTTCTCCCTCTTCCTTTCTCTCTCTCTTTCTCTCTTTCTTATTTTTTCTCTTGACTGTCGTCGTCGCGTTTTCTATCGGCAGCACACCGCACAAAATACCGTGGTCTTGCGTGTCCTGCAATGATACTTAATACGGATGATCTTTGAACGTTGATAAAAAAAAAAAAAATAATAGAGAAGAGAATGAAAGAGAGAAGTCGCGGAGAATAAAAGTTCAGTCCGTTGCGATCGACGCGAGCCTCGATACTGAACTGACTCGAGTGAGCTCCTCTACTGTTTCGTGTTTCTCCGTAAATGTTCGCGAGTGGGAGGGAGAGAGACGGTGAATGCGACTGGCCGTTGAGAGATAAGCACTAAGGCACATATGTATGTATATACTTATGTATACTTGAGTAAAAGAAAGAAAGAAAGAGAGAGTAAGAAAGAGAGAGAGAGATAGAGAGAGAAAGAGAGAAAAGCGTAGCGCGCGGCCATTCGAACGTTGAAGCGAGAGACGCCTACCTTTTTCTCTAACGCCCGTTTCGACGTCCAAGCCGTGAGCGAAAGAGCCAGAGAAACAAATAAACCACGAGAGTAAAGGAAAGCACGTTCTACCGTGAGCAATGTAAAGAAGAACGAGACGACGAATAGTAAAGTCCGCGTTTACGTCATCGCTCGAATTGGCAACTCTATCTGTGTAGCCTTTGAAATCTGGACCCTCTTTTACCTTTGAAGATTCTCTTCTCGATATTCGAGACCCTTTCCTTTTCTTTTCCTTTCCTTTCCTTTCCTTTCCACTTTCTAATTTCAAATCTATTTAATTTCAATCGAAAGTTATTTCCCTAATGTCACTTTCTTCGTGAATTAATAAACTTATTATTAACCATAAAAAGTGTTAATGCAACACGCGATGGAATTTAATTGAAATTAAAAGTTATCGATTACACTTTAAAAGATTTGCAAATATTGGCTCTCTTTTTTTTCCAGGAAAGATTAATATTTTTTCTTTTTTTTTTTCTTTTTTTTTTTTTAACTTTACATATATTCCAAGGATTGTCTCTTTTCTTTTTTTATTTTTTTTTTCTTCTTTTTTTTTCCTTTAATGCCAGAAGCTGCGTGAAGCTTTGTGTATTTTTTTTCTTCTTCTTCTTCTTCCTTTTTTCTCACTTTTCTTTCTTTCGTTTGCGCATGTGCTATGGAAAAAAATATTGACCAGTGGTGCCATCTGTTAGAAAGCAAATTGATTTCATTCATGTGCAATTTATACGTCGATCATTTTCAGATTGAAAAATGTTCATTTTTAAAGTTTATTAATAATAGTTAAGAAATATTTTAATGTAAATTTATATCATTTATATAAGATATAAATAATCGTAGATAAAATTAAATCTGTTAAAAATATCGTTTCAGAATGTATATTAATAAAATAAAGTGATATATAATACGGGTTGTACATAGTCGTATCTATAAAGAAATTGTATCGTGTGTAAATTTTGTTATTTAAAATGGCATTGTATCGTGTTAATATGAATGTAACGCCCTTAATTTATAATACTTATTATAAATTCTGTATTAATATGAGCAAACTGGATTTTCTAAATGGACAATCAACAATAAAAAATAGACAATTTCCATTAAAATATATATCTACACAAAGGAGTAAGCAAATAAACATAACCTATGATTTGTTCTACAGTTTAGATAATATGCGAATTAGTTATTTATGAAAGCTTATCAATTATTTACCACGTGATCAATTATTTATCAAATTTTCTTTTTTCATTTATTTATATTGAATGTTTATCATATATTATCAATTTTATTTGTTTGGTATTAACAATCATTTTTTTTATAGATGGTTCATTCAAGAAAACCATCTCAGAAATGTCTCATTTGCAAGAATACATAACAATGAGAAAATCTCAAGCATTAAGAAGTATATTAGTTCAAATTGAATCAATGAAATCATACAAAGATCTTATATCTTATTGTTATCAATTTGGTTCAGTGGCAAATGTATATTGTTATACGTTACCAAAACAACATGTAGGTTAAATATATTCAATTAATCTCTTATTATATATTTTTGTTTCATTATATTTAATGTTAGCATTCAACTATAATTTTATATTTATTGCTTGGCCTTTTTAGAATTTTATCTTATAATGATCATGTTAGAGAAATGTATTAAATTTTTGTAATTCATAATGAAAAATTATTTCAGCAATTTGTACTACTTGAATTTAAACAATTAAAAAGTGTTCAGGATATCTACGAAAATGCAACATATATAGATAATTATATTCCTAGTAGAACAAATGTTCTATGGTTTCGTAAGGTATCAAAGAACAATATAAAACTACAGTATAAATATTCTTTACCAATGTCTAAACCTCTATTATTCAAAGAGGATATTATTAGAGATTTAATCGCATCTTCGCCTTCGGTAAAATCTTTTACATTTTTAATTTACATATGATACATGTTAATATTTATTCTAATGCACATTATTTATAGATATCAGACCAAATGGTAACTTTATATAATGGATATAAATTAGACGAATTAGAAATAAGATTAAAATTTCAAACTATTGTTCAATTAGAACATTCTTTTGCCAGTTTATTTCCAAATATAATTATACATCCCTTTGGTTCTTTTATAAACGGTTTTGGAAAAAAACTGTCTGACCTTGATTTGATTCTTTTTATAGATGGTCTTAAAATAGTAAGTTTACAATAATAATAAGTTCTTGTGATCTTTGCAAAGTAAATATTAAAAATGGATTATTTTGTTATAGGAAAATTTATCAAGTAGATTGGTATTTCATGGAAAATCACCTATAATAAATGAAAAAGACAACATGCATGTACTTATGGGATTAATAGCAGATACCATGAAATACATTATACCTGGTATATGTAACGTAAGAAAAATTTTTAATGCAAGGGTTCCCATAATCAAATTTCAGAACTTATTCACATACACAGAGTGTGACTTGAGTATGAGTAATATGTAAGTTTTAAATATATTACTTTCTTTGAAAAACAATATTTTACATTCTTTTTTTTATAGCATTGCCACATATATGTCAGAGGTACTATTTTTATATGGTGAAATAGATAGTCGAGTGAAACCACTTATATTTACAATTCGAAAATGGGCAAAAGATAATAAATTAACGAATATCTATCCGGGAAAAACAATTACAAATTTTTCATTGACTCTATTAGTAATATTTTATTTACAAAAAATAAAGATATTACCTGTCATAAGTAAGATGACAACCTATTCAGGTAAAGTTCAACATAAGAAAGTTTGGTATATACAATCAAATATATTAATAATATTTTTTTAAAAATTATTTATTTTACTTGTGTTATTTATTTTTTACAGAAATAACAAATGAATATAAAAATAATCTAAAGAATGTATATATGCATTATTCATCAAATGATTCAATATCATATACGAATAATAATGCAAATTTAGAAAGTCTTTTAATAGATTTTTTTCAATTTTATATTGATTTTAATTTTAAAGCAAACCAAATTTGTTTGCAAACAGGTATTGCAATTGAATTGATGCATGATTCAGCAATGTATATACGTAATCCATTTGAAGAAGAGTTAAATGTTAGTAAAAATGTTAGTTTTAATGAAGTTCAACGGATAAAAACATTAATGTCAATAGCAATTACCAATCTTCGAAATACTCAACATTTAAAATCAAAAAAATGGGGTATTCTATCTATATTAAATTTTCCTGAAACACTAAGTAACAGTATTAATGTATCAGAAATACTTGATAAAGAAGTGAATAAGATAGAAACTAAAAATAATAAAGTTCTCCAAAGTCCTGAAGAAAAAAATGTGAGTGATACATTAAGTACAAATATTACGGATGTTACTATCAATAAAAATATTGTATCTCAAAAATAAAATAAATCTAAATATTGTTAATATCATTGTCTTATAAAGAACTGTGTAAAATATTGCATTATGCTATTTCTTTTTTACATTAATACGTAAATTATGACATTGTAAAAATGTTAATATTAAAATATAATAAAACAATTTGTACAAGTTAGTTTTACGTAGACATTAACGTGTATATAAAAAAAAGAAGGTAACTATTTTATGGCTATTCATCAATCTTAATTTGATAATTTAATATAGACGTAATTCTTGAACGATTTTGATGAATAAGTTCTTATTTCAAAAATAAAAATTTAAACAAGAATATGACTTTTCTGAATTTTTGTAAAAACTTTATTTTCTTAAAAAAAAAAAAAATAATAATAATAATAATCACTTCTGTTTATCTTAACAAAAAATCATTTGCATTACATATAATTTATTCAAAACAAACGAACAAGATTTGGTATCAAATTTTATAAATTATGTAATTCTCAAACAAGATATATACATAATATATCAAAATATACATTGAAAAAGACAAAATTGATTTTGCATCTGCTAATAGAAATGTCTTGATGAATTTAATGAAAGAAAGTGAATTGTTGTATGAAGTGTACTGCCTTTATATAAACAAAATTGATATAGTTTAGCTATTATGAACATATAAACATTACTGTCTCATGCTAACTCAATTGTTAGGTTAAGCATGAAAGAAGAAATGTAACCTATACAAACTTGTACATCAGTAATACGTTCATAGTCTTCATAGTGATGACAATAATGTTTCCCTATTACGCTTGTAGTTCATATTTTTTCCATATCTGTCGCTGAAATCACACACGCTTCGAATAAAAAATTGATGAGCACCTTCTGGACAAGCAGGTTATCTATATAATAACATACAAAATATCATTATGAGATTTTTTTATAAAAATAGTTCTATATACGTATATATTGTACATATATATAAAAAAAGAGATTCTGAATAAATAAATGATATACATACCTCAAGGGAAGGAAAGAGATAACAAACATTATAAACGAATTCGGATCAGAAACAATGTATTCCTTAATTTATATATTTTACTTTATCAGCATTTCGGTATTTTTTTTTTGTCATACATACTTATCGTTTACATTTGCTATAATTAAAACGTCCTTAAAGCCCCTCACGAAGACCATAACTTTGGTACTCTCGGTGAATCATTATAAGTTATAATAATACTTCCGGGCGACAATTTCCATGATTTATTGTAATCGAATGTTTACGATCTTTAATGCATTTACGTGTATATATATATATATATATTTCTTGTAAGTATGCGTGAGTATTATTTTTATATGACGACGAATAAATATATCAT